AAAACACTGTACGTTTCCTTGGCTCGTCCGATTCTGGAATATTGTTCTTGTGTGTGGAGTCCACAGTACAAGGAGCAACAGTCCATTCTCGAATCGGTCCAAAAACAATTTTTAATTTTTGCATTACGTAATTTTAACTGGGACTCGGATAGAATCTTGCCACCTTACAAATCGAGGCTACAACTTTTAGACCTCCCTTCATTGCGCCATCGCAGAATTTGTAACGGTGTTATGTTTGTACACAAGCTCCTAGTTGGGCTTGTGGACTCAGAATCACTTCTTGGCCAGCTTGACTTCTCTGTTGCCCTTAGACCTACTCGAACATTTCGTCCTTTTCATTTACCTTTCATTGTAGCTGCAGCGGTGAATTTTCGTTTTCGGTCGTGACCGTTGCTGACCGTCGTTGTTGTTGTGTGTTCTTTTCGTTTGGCGCAATTGAGACAACCGTTCGCCAAGTGACGAGTTACCCTGTATCTATTGGGTATATAGGGTCTGGTGCCAGTAAGATCCATCTATAAATTTGACGAAGCGTGCCTCACCATTCAAATTGGGTGTATATTTGTAGAACTGTTGGTCCAGCAAACACAACAGCCAACACACATATACATTAGGCTGGGCCAAAAAACTTTTTTTTCGAAATTCAAACGGGACACCCCCTAGTTTTGTTTCCTTGGATTTAATAGTAATTAACATGTTTTTATTTTATTTTTTTTTTTATTTTTTAGAGGTTGCTACCGAATTTTACAAAAAATTTAATCAAGAAAATTAAAAAAAAAATTTTTTACGAATGAGTTGGGTAATTGGTGAAATCTTTTGCATATATATTGATACCATTCATATCGTCATTAATCAGTTATTGGGAGAAAAAACCTGCACAAGTTTTTGCGAACTAGTTAACCAAATATATCAACCTCAGCTGATCTTCTTGATTTTCACCAATCGTTAATTTTTTAACAGTAACTAAAAAAAACGAGAAGGAACGTGTGAGTCGCTTCAGCGACGCGACTCTACTTATACCCGTTCTCAGTCAGCATATAAATTTTTGTGCTTATGATTTCTTAGAATTTTAGAATAAAAAAAATGTTACATTTTACATTTTTTTGATACATCAGTTATCTACATCTACATCTACAATGTATATTTTACATCTAACATGTAGATTATAGATGTACCATTCAAATTCTACATCTCCTCCGCTAGGGGTTGCTCGCACACTGAACGCGGCAGAGTGTGCGAGCGAGAAGGAAAATGAGTTGCGCTGTCGTTGGCAGGGGGAGGCAGAGGAAGCAACAGAAAATTAATTTCTTCATTCTGGCTATAATTATGATCCGATCTGATTCAGATTCGGCAATCTGATAGATATGGTCATTCTCTATGATACTGCGTTTTTAGTTTTATCGTATCTTTAAAATTGTGCCTGCCACAGATTTTCGTTTTTTGTGGGGGCGGAAGGGGCGGGGCGAAATTTTGAAATACACTTGTAGCATTGTGATATCACATGAGTCTGGAAACCAAATTTGGTTGCTCTAGCTTTTATAGTCTCTGAGATCTAGGTGCTCATCGGGACGGACAGACAGACAGATGGACAGACAGACAGACGGATAGACAGACATGGCTATATCGACTCGGCTATTGATGCTGATCAAGAATATATATACTTTATGGGGTCGGAAACGTTTCCTTCTCTGCGTTGCACACATCCACTTTTACCACAAATCTAATATACCCCTTAACTCTTTTTTGAGTACGGGTATAAATATAAAAATACCTAATTATCAATATGAACTAGTTTCTAAGTTTCAATATATATTTTAAAAAAACCGACAAATGAAATTTTTTTTGATGTATATTTACCCAAAAGTTTTTATTTCCTTTTCGTGGGAGCAACCCCCAAACATTAAACTAGAGATTTGAGAAAAATTGTATAATAGAGTTGCGATGTCGTTGGGGGGGGCAGAGGAAAACAGAAAAACGCATTCTGGCTCTAAGATGCGATCTATTCAGATGCGATAGATATTATTCTTGACATATGATTTTTTAGTTTTAAATTAAAAAAAAAATTTTACACTTTACATTTTTTTTTTTGTTATGTTGCTCTAGCTTTTGCTCGCCTACTGACGCGGCTGAGTGTGCAGCGGGATGGAATACAGACATGACAGATGGGACAGGGGGACAGAAAAAATTCGTCTCTGGCTATTATTCTGATCCGATTTAGATATCTATGGGGTCGGAAACGTTTCCTTTTCTGCTGTTGCCACACACCTTGTTTGAAAATCCAATATACCCCTTAACTCTTTTTTGGTCGGGTATAAATATAAAAATACCTAATTATCAATACGACTAGTCTAGATTCAATACTATTTGAAAAACACCGACAAACGAAACTGACGTACGTGACCCAAAAGTTTTTATTTCCTTTTCGTGGTAGCAACCCCCAAACATTAAACTAAAAATTTGAAAAAAAATTGTATAATTTTATTGAATAACAAAGAACAGAATTGGGGGTGTCCACTTGAAAAAAACAGAAAAAAAATGTTCCTCAAATTTTGGCCCAGCCGAATATTTACCCAAAAATTTGTATTTTCTTTTCGTGGTAGCAACCCCCAAACATTAAACTAAAAATTTAAAAAAAAATTGTATAATTTTATTGAATAACAAAAAACAGAATTGGGGGGTGTCCACTTGAAAAAACAGAAAAAAAAATTTTTGCTCAAATTTTGGCCCAACCTAATATACATACATACACATAAATACATACATACACATAAATACATACATACACATAAATACATACATACACATAAATACATACATACACATAAATACATACGTGAAAAGACAGAATCGCGAATTTTTCGAGTGCAGACGCGACAAACAGCTGCTCTGCAAAGAAATTCCGAAATCCCGAAATATACCTGCGGAAAGACCCACATATTAGCCAAAGCGTTTGTTGACACCGCGTGCTCACCTGGGAGAGTCAAGCCACACACCTATTGGCCCCGGATCCGGACTGCTCGTCGTTCCTTCACGAGCACCCAAAGGGGGCAAGGGGTGCCAGGCCCCACCTTCAGTGCGTTGCATTGTCACTCAACGCCCGGAGGCTCCCGAACTTCCCCCAACTTTCCCCCAACTCCCAACAAGACAGCCCGGCCAGACGCAGTGCTGGTCAAATGCACCGAGGAGGCATCATACGCCGACATCCTCAAACTGGTGAAGGCAGAACCAACTCTCCAGACACTAAAAAACAAGGTTCAGGGCATCCGGAAGACTGCCTCGGCGGAGCTGCTACTCAGGATTTTCACCTGTGTCTCAAGTCTCTGGCGATACTCAACAGAGCCCAGCAACAATGGCAGAGGCCATCCAGCAGTCTATCGCTGAAGCGATTAGAGTGGCTATGGTAGAACAGACTCGATTGCTGGCGACCAGCATGGCTGATCAAACTAGCCAGCTAGTTCGAGCCATCTCTGATGGACTCCGAAGTACTCCCGCTGTCCCGTCAGCTACCGGTAGCTGAAATCGAACAGCAAACAAAGGAACCACTTGTCCGATTGTCCACTAGTGGCCAGATACCAGTTTCAGGCCTTAATCAAACGGGAAATAATTCTTCCCCGATTATACCCGGACTCTCAAACTTAGGACAAACTCGTAATGTTGGTTCAGGACTGTACGCCGCTTCGACAGCTTCATCGCTTCGTGCAGATCGTGTTAGCCAGATAATGTCCAATTGGAAATTGAGATTTACAGGAAAGGCTAGTATGTCCATTGAAGACTTTATCTATCGTATTGAGGCATTGACAAAGCAAACTTTGGACGAAAACTTTGAGATAACCGCTCGGTACGATAGTAACCTTTTTGATGGGAGCGCCAGCGAATGGTTTTAGCGCTTTCATAAAAGTGTCCCTGAAGTCCGTTGGATGGATTTATGCGTTGCCTTGCGTGGCCAGTTTAAAGATGACCGAAAAGATAGGAATATCCGAACGGAGGTTAAATTAAGAAAGCAGCGACCAAACGAATCCTTTGATGATTTTTGTGGCGCTATTGCCGCTTTGGCAGAAAAACTTTCTGAGCCTATGTCCAGGGCAGCCTTGGTTGAGACACTGCGAGCAAATTTTAGCTGACATTCAGCATGAGATCTTGTATGAGTCAGCTTCGAATGTAAAATCCTTGCGTCACCTTGTCCGTACGCGAGAAATATTTATGCAGTCCGTAGCAAAAACAAAGATTTCCCTTTCTGCTTCCCGTGCCTTACCTTGACGCCTGCAGAAGAGGACCTTGAGGTTTCCGCTGTAGAGTTCGTCTGTTGGAATTGCACTGGCAAAGGCCATCCCTATCAAGAATACCTAGAAGAACGTAGAATATTCTGCTACGGTTGTGGCAGGGCAGACACGTATAAGCCGAATTGAGGAAATGCAACCCAAACACTGCAAAAACTCGCTGTTGCGTGCACCACCGAAAAGTGCACGCAAACTGGTGAATCAAGCGACCAATACCGAACAAATGACTATCTGAATCAGATCGGATCATTATTATAGCCAGAATAAAGAAATGAATTTTCAGTTATTTCCCTCACCTCCTCCAACGACGTGACTCATTCTCTTTGTGCGACCTTTGCGAAGATGTATAATTTACATTGTGTATGTAGAATCTACATTATAGATGTATCAAAAATATGTAAAATGTTAAATATTTTAGAATTCTGCTGAAAAATGTATAATATAAAATGTATGTATATAAATTTTATATACTGAGTACGATTAAATAATGGAGGGTCACGGCAAAGACTCTATAACACTCTTTATATTCTCACAAGTGCAGGTCCACACAAATTGGATGTCGTCGCGTCTACCTAATTCTAGCTGTTTTAATTATCTTTTCAAAATAGCAAAGTTCTTTACAACCAGACGTAAGATACTAGAGTTATGTGAAAAAAACAAGCGCTACCTCTGAAAAAAGGTTAAAAAATATATTAAAAAATCGAGTTGACTCGCTGATAAATGATATTTTTTAATTCATTCACCGATATTTATTAAATGTTTTGATAAAGACAAAAACGCTCTCAAAAATCAAAATATTATCTTAGTCTATTCCACCGTTGCGACAGCTACGTCGGGGTCTCTAGGTCCAGAGTCCGGTTGATCTGCGTTCGACGTGCTTCCATCTTCATCATCTGACCTATGTTGCTCAACGCTAGCACTCTTCTTGTTAGCCATTTCCTTAGCCTTTTGTCGATATATATCGGTCTCTTTTTCGTTAAGTATTTTAAACGGCTGATTTTTGCCGACAATGGCTATTGTGATATTCTGTAACAATTGTCAATAATTATCAATAAAAGATGGCGTGTCCTTAGCTACAAGAATCATACCAATTTCTCATTCTCATTTTTGAGTTCGTCTGTGGGCAAGGAGCCATGAATCGCAAGTATTCCATGGCATATTATATCATCATCCGAACAATTTAAAAAAATGTTTAGATTCCTCTCTAAATATGTACGTGCACTTTGTGAGCGGGACCCAATAGAATTTGCTTTGCAATTATAAAAAGTCGCAGACGGTGTGACTTGATATATATGAGGCCCCTTTTCATCATAGCCGCCAACAAGCAGGCCCACTCCGTACGGACGTCGATCGTACCGTTGTGTGGTCGTTTGCATCTTGTTACCAAGATTTGTTATCAATCGGGATACCGGATAAGCTGAGCCGTAAGAATGCTTGTAACTTAAGCACTCAGATCGCAGGTACCTGCTAATCACACGAGCATCAGCAGTTATGCCAGCAATGGATATTCCCAAGTGTTCATCAATTTGAATAACCTTACGTTGAGAAGCTGACAGCTCCGAAGATGGTTTGCAAAGGGCAACCAGAACAGCAGCATCACGACTTTTTAAACCAACAGTTGCAGTTCCAAGTTTAACCGCTTCCATTGCGTACTCGACTTGGTGCAGTCGTCCTTGTGGACTCCATACTGTAACATCACTATCATACTGGTTTCGAAACTGAAAAAAAAAATGTATTCCCAAAAGCATTAATTTAATTAAATTTATAGCTTACCATAATTTTCAGAATAGATTCGTACAAGATGACAAGTAATATTTTGAAAAGCTAGATATGGCAAGGAAGCGATACAAATTACAGATAATCGCAGATATAATCGAAGATTTTAGAATAATGGAAATGAACATTATTTTTAGTTCGTCACGGAAGAGATTCTAGTCAATTTGGATCGGGTGAATGTGTAACACAGAAAAGTTCTTCACTGTCTATAATATCTCCATTTGCTATGCTCCGATCCCACCAAACAAAGCATCTACGACTATGATTATTTCGTACGAATCGAAATTTGTGTGCTTCGGTTTCTATTGGCTATTACATGCGTTTCATTTTAAAATGGTTTTGCTATATATCACTTGTCTAAATAATTCTCTAGTTTTAGCAATATTATATTATACAACAAAAATTCGTGATATGAGGGACATGTAACCGATGCCCGCCTATTGATATCGATATATTATCAGTCATCGGGAATACGCAATGTGTTATCTAGGTTTCTTTGGGTGCAGTCAAATTTTAGGTGTATTTAAATCTATTACATATTTGTATATACATATACGAAAAAAAAATGTTAAATGTAGTTAAATATCATGTAAATACGCATTACATAGTGCAATATATTGGAATTTGTAAGTATAGGTCTTCTACCATACAGCCATACAACCTAATTTTTATCTCCTGCTAAGTAAAAATGACTGTTGCACAGTGTTATTATTATCTAGATTTATTTATTGAAATTTAACTAATAACTAATAATGTCTGATTTACTTTTACTCTCGCATTCTCATTTTTCAATTTCCAAAACGGCAACATATTCCTCGTAGAAATAAAAAGTTAACTTATTTTTATACCCCAAAATGAATCGTATAACATATTCCCAGAGGCCACCAAACACCATCTATTCCAGAGATGGTACGTAAGGTTTTGCCGCTCCGAATATTTCCCAGGAATTCCACCATCCATCTTGGATGTTCCTAATTCGTACGTTTCTATACGATAATTCTTCGAAAATTTTAAAATGCAACCATAGATAATAGATATTCACAACGAAAAAACGGAAAGCACTACGAATATGTAAACAATGACAGACAGGATAATGGGAAAAACAACAAAACACAGTCCATCAGCTGTTTCCGTTTTTTTTTTAAATATTTAAAACTTGAAGAAAAAGAAAAACTAATACGTAAAATTATTAATGGATATATGTACTGTGGCTTAGCTACCCAGTCAGACTTTATTGCTTCCAAGAAGTACTTCTAGAGCGCTTCTTTTTCATGCAAGAACCTGTGATAAATACGTGACGTTTTGGTTTCCAAATTACACAGGGCGGAACTTGCCAGCACCGGTACATTTGGAACTAGGTAGGAAGCGTTCCTTTAGAACGCATTGGAAACTGTTGGTTGTTGTAATATCAACTTCGTCCAACGGTCGGGTCTCGCTTCCAGTAGTACTTTCCGAAAAAATCATCATAGAACACATATTTGGCATGCATCGAGAACCGTTCCTTAGAAACCTATTAAGAGACGTTCTGGAACTGTTACAATGCAATCATTCCCTATCACATCCCTGGCGTGTATCAAGAACCGTTCCTTGAGAAAGTATGCAGCATGCATGTATGCATGCATGAAAGAGCGTTCTAAAAGAACGCGGATCTAACCCTTAAATACAAAAACTATTTTTTTCAATTTAATTTATTTAATATTTTCTTGACTATAATATAATACAAAAAAAATAAGAAAAAGTAAAAAAAACGTAAATGTAAGAAAAAATAAAACTGAAAATAGATTAAAAAAATGAAAAAAAAATAAAAGAAAATTAATTATAATAATAATAAAATAAAAAATTTTAATAATTGCCGTTGTCGTCTATGATGAAATCCATGTCGTGGTTGTAGTTGTTGTTTTTCTCGGGGATGTTGCCGAAGTGCCAAAGTGCCATTGTTTCCTTTGGAGAATGCCGTCCTTATAAAAAAGAAATTTATATTAATTTTTGTTGTTGATTTCGCCAAAAGTTTATTAATTTTTAATACAATTTTTTAAGTTTATGTCCAATAGGTTGAGCCAAAAAAATGTTTTTTTTTTTTTTTAAGCGCGACACCCCTTAATTTGTTATCTTGGGTTTGATAGTGTAACGAACCATGGTTCTAGCCATTCCACACAATTAATTAAGAACTCTCGATCAACAACACCCCACCTCTTGAGACAATTGTGAAATCAGCAGCCTACAATGTCGCAATAAGCCAAGCCGACACAATTTCGCAATAAGAGATATCATTGGCGTTATTTCACAATAAGTCAAGCTAGCATAAAAGTATCGAAACATCGACCCAAATTCAGATATCACCTCCGCGATGCAGAGTTAGTAAAAACTCATTTCTTTTGAAACCAAATACCCAATTCCCAACTGCACCTTCCGGGATGCAGCATCAGCAAAACCACCCTGACTCACTAAAAATTGTCAACGAAGCACCAAGCTTCGGCCTAGTTACCACACCCTACAATTATTATTACCCAATAACCTTAAGTCAGCAAGAATTAATTATTTCCGGGTCTCAGGTGCGATCGCCAGCTGCATAAAAGGGCCAAGATCGGCCGAAAGAGTAGGCAGTCCATCAGCCCAAACACAAGACACTGCACAAGGCAGTCCCTCAGTCACACACCCAAGACACTGTACTATACAGCCCCTCAGTCACACACCCAAGACACTGTACTACGCAGTCCCTCAGTCACACACCCAAGACACTGTACTACACAGTCCCTCAGTCACCCACCCAAGACACTGTACTACGCAGTCCACCAGCGCACCATTCAACCTCGAGTTGAAGTAAACGTTGTAACGTTTACTAAAACCACTGTTAATACTTACAGTTCGTTTACTTCTTCTTAGTTTATGTATATCACATTCCATCGTTGAGGTTATGTTCATGTGCAGTTACATGTTCAAAGAGAAATATGTACATATATTATGCATTATTTATTGTTTATTTTAATATTCTTAAGGTGCATGTCGAACTGCCACAACAATCTGTCAATACGTACGTGGTAAAACAAACAGTTTTAGGCTTTTAGGTTTCACTTTTTCACAATTCTTGGCAATGTGCACAAAAAAAACCCACGATTTTCACCGGCAAAACGCAAGTGATGAAATAAAAGATGACGAGAAAAAACCGCGTCGTTCTTGCATGATCCCTTTTGTTATTTTTTTGTTGTCCTACCAAGGGTACGAATTTGTCTTCGAAAACATTCTCTATGCCTTCTAATAGAAGCGAAAAGTTCATGCATCGAAAACGTCTACCTGCGAACGTAGACTTTTTAAGTTACAGGTATTAATAGTTTTCAAAAATTTAATTGTTTTGCAAAGCTAACAGTTACGTTATTAAGAAAAAATAACTAGTTTTAAAATCACGCGATGAGGAGTAAGTAATGAATCTTTAAACCTGCAATTTTTTGAAAAAAGTCAAAAATACTTTTAATACCTGTAACTTAAAAACGCGAACTGATGGAAAAAATGGAGATCAAATTTGAAATTACCGACTTGTGCTTTTTTTAGCTTTATGAAAAATCATATTAAAGTAGCATTCTATGTGTACATAGTATGTACATTTAATCTCTAAAGCCTAGTACTCAGATCGAAAAACTGTTTGCTGGCAAACAGATGTCATGTATTTTTCGAGCGACCAGTGGTGTGACCAGAGGTGTGCACTGCATTCCGAACGGTTACACTGCTCAGACCGCTGCTTGGTTTTGTTTAAAGTTATCAAAAAGCACTTCTTCGGCTGGGGCCGCTCTTCCCCAGCCATATCCTTGGCTCCCCAATATTTTATTGGCAAGGTAATGTGTCTGACTATCAGCAGCAGCAGATGGCGACGCATCCCGTGCCGGACACCGTGAAGAAAAAATGTTTTGAAAACAATATATGTTTTATATTTATGAAAATTAATATAAATAATAAATTATAATATCCATATAATTGTCATTCATATAATACTGCATTAGTTAGATTCTATTTTTTTTTTATTATTAAAATATTTCATTTGGTTTTTTGTTCTCTTACTGCAATGTTTGCTTCGTGTTTGCTGGCAAATTATATCAAATTGATATCTTTTTCGAGGTGGGTCGAAACATACCAAAAAAACAAGCAAATACTTTTGATACTTTTCCAGTATATACCGACCCTTTTGTTTTTTGATCTGAGTATTGTCTTCCGTGCAGAGCCTAGAAAACAGTTTTTGCCGTGAAACATTTCTTATCGGTTTCATACGAATGTCAACCCTGATTCTGTTCGCGAGGTGTTTTTTTCGATCTGAGTACTAGGCTTAAACAAATAAATTGTATCTATTTTAAAATATGTTTATCTAAATGTTTTTAGACCAAAAGCTGTGATTTCTGTGGCTACTTTGTTTTTTTATTAATTTTTAAACAAGAAAATAATTTTTGTCTTCGCTAATATTTTGTTTTTTCAAAACTGAAACGATATCGCTGAATCCATTGGGAAAATTCAAAACCAATGTAGGCACGGCTTCAAGACAGTATTGTTGGCGAGTTTTTTTTTTTTTTTTAGCTGTATTCGGTTAACCGTTTTCAATTTAATCCACTATATGAAAGGGAAGTGCCTTAATTTTGGATATAGCGGTATATCGCGAAATCAAGATCTGATAGGAAAAAACCAAGTACAGTGTTGGATTAAGCGTCCCCGATTACCTTAAAAACAATATTCAGTTCTTAATCAACAAAACCCTTGTTCCCTTGTGTTATCATTATTTAATTTCGATAAATTTGTATACATTAAATTCATTTAATAAGCCTCGAAGTGCGCGGGTCTGCTTGTTCTTCATAAAATTCTATGGAGAAACGGCTGGAGTAAAGTTCCAAATGGTAAAATATGATTTTCGGAGGGTTTGTCAACCAATTTCAGCTCAGACGTTTCTGGGGTAGGCTAGGGCATCGGGGCCCTAGCCACGCCACTGTACAGAGTACGCCTGCACAGAGCCCAGATCTAAATTTTATTGAACATCTTGGGGAAGAATTAGCCAGTCGGGTGTATCAAAAAAATGTAACACGCTAAATCAGTAGTAGTAGAAGCATGGAAATCTATAGAGCCCCATT